GGCACGATGGTAGCCGCGCCGCACATCTGCCTGTTCACCGTCGCGCCCATTGGGCACGATGGTAGCCGCACCGCACATCCGCCTGTTTACCGTCGCACCCATTGGGCGTGATGGTAGCCGCCTCACACGTCCGCCTGTTCACCGTCGCGCCCATTGGGCGCGATGGTAGCCACGCCGCACATCCGCCTGTTTACCGTCGCGCCCATTGGGCGCGATGGTAGCCGCACCGCACATCCGCATGTTGACCATCGCGCCCATTGGGCGCGATGGTAGCCGCGCCGCACATCTGCCTGTTCACCGTTGCGCCCATTGGGCGCGATGGTAGCCGCCTCACACGTCCGCCTGTTGACCGTCGCACCCATTGGGCGTGATGGTAGCCGCCTCACACGTCCGCCTGTTCACCGTCGCGCCCATTGGGCGCGATGGTAGCCGCGCTGCACATCTGCCTGTTGACCATCACGCCCATTGGGCGCGATGGTAGCCGCGCTGCACATCCGCCTGTTCACCGTCGCGCCCATTGGGCGCGATGGTAGCCGCCTCACACGTCCGCCTGTTGACCGTCGCGCCCATTGGGCGCGATGGTAGCCGTGCCGCACATCCGCCTGTTCACCGTCGCGCCCATTGGGCGCGATGGTAGCCGCGCTGCACATCCGCCTGTTTACCGTCGCGCCCATTGGGCGCGATGGTAGCCGCCTCACATGTCCGCCTGTTGACCGTCGCACCCATTGGGCGTGATGGTAGCCGCCTCACACGTCCGCCTGTTGACCGTCGCGCCCATTGGGCGCGATGGTAGCCACGCTGCACATCCGCCTGTTTACCGTCGCGCCCATTGGGCGCGATGGTAGCCGCACCGCACATCCGCCTGTTGACCATGGCGCCCATTGGGCACGATGGTAGCCGCGCCGCACATCTGCCTGTTCACCGTTGCGCCCATTGGGCGCGATGGTAGCCGCCTCACACGTCCGCCTGTTGACCGTCGCACCCATTGGGCGTGATGGTAGCCGCCTCACACGTCCGCCTGTTCACCGTCGCGCCCATTGGGCGCAATGGTAGCCGCGCTGCACATCCGCCTGTTGACCATCACGCCCATTGGGCGCGATGGTAGCCGCGCTGCACATCCGCCTGTTCACCGTCGCGCCCATTGGGCGCGATGGTAGCCGCCTCACACGTCCGCCTGTTGACCGTCGCGCCCATTGGGCGCGATGGTAGCCGTGCCGCACATCCGCCTGTTCACCGTCGCGCCCATTGGGCACGATGGTAGCCGCACCGCACATCCGCCTGTTTACCGTCGCACCCATTGGGCGTGATGGTAGCCGCCTCACACGTCCGCCTGTTCACCGTCGCGCCCATTGGGCGCGATGGTAGCCACGCTGCACATCCGCCTGTTTACCGTCGCGCCCATTGGGCGCGATGGTAGCCGCACCGCACATCCGCCTGTTGACCATCGCGCCCATTGGGCGCGATGGTAGCCGCGCCGCACATCTGCCTGTTCACCGTTGCGCCCATTGGGCGCGATGGTAGCCGCCTCACACGTCCGCCTGTTGACCGTCGCACCCATTGGGCGTGATGGTAGCCGCCTCACACGTCCGCCTGTTCACCGTCGCGCCCATTGGGCGCGATGTAGCCGCGCTGCACATCCGCCTGTTGACCATCATGCCCA